GGTGTAATCGTGGAGGTTTCCGTCGGGGATGAGGCGATTGTCAAACATGGTCTCCGATGCTCCCGTGTCTACCAGCTGGCCTACCCCGGTGGAGCTCGCGGCGAAGTTGCGTCCTGAGATGCGGGAACACGTGGCGAACATGAAGCCGCTGTCAAAGGCGTCCTTGTCCCGGGTGAGACATGGTGTTGTGCTTGGAGCACCACTTGGTAGCTCCGGCGGGCTTCGTTTTAGAACTATCGCTGGCGAACGCGCTTCCACCTCCTGTGTTGCTCGTTGCGGTATCCATTGCTCGTTCTAGCTTTATTTTCTTCGTCTTGATGAAAGTACTTCTTGCTGTAGGAGTAAGTTTGCTCGTGGTACTACTGCCTGTACCCGAGACTCCCCCACCCTGTTCCTGCTACTGATATAGAGGACTCCGGTTGTTGATCGCCTCCACTGATGATACAGTGTAGTTCCTTGTACACCCGATGCGTATGCCGCTGGAGACTCCCGCGCACGTGACCCTTGCTGCTAGTTCACCACAGAGNTCGTTGTCCACGGATGAAGGTTGATGTCCCGAGAAGAGGTTGCCTTGATCTTCCCGTGATGTTCGCAGCTCGTAGTGTGTGCGTTAGTCGAAGCTCATAACCTGTCAGAATATATTTCGCTGTGCACTCGCAGCAGTACAATGCTGCAGATGCCGGTAGGCTGAGTAGCCTACCTCAGATGTTCACACTCTGTGCGGCTCCAACCGCGAGAGACTTGGAATAGAAATATGAAGATGTTTTTATTAATCGCTGACTCCCGAGTCAGATGTTGCTGGTACTGAAGAGGAGTGAGAGAGGTGGGCGAGCTTAGGGCTGCACCACTCTTCTCGAATACCGGATAAATAAGCCAATCACACGACAGATCCAGAATGCTTCCAGAATGATTTCTGGAAGCCCTCCTGCATTCTGGAAGAGTATCAACTGCAACCTAGATCTAGAACGCTTCCAGACGCTTACAGAAGGTTTCAGAAGTTTCCAGAAGGCTTCCAGAAGCTACACACGTTCTACGTAGATGTCCCGGTGAACCTTGACCTAGCATGCTTGCTGCCGGAATATTTCTAGAACAAGAGAATACATGCCGCGGAGAGATGGATTCTTTCTACTGCTGCTACGCAGACTAGTTGCTGCAATTTAATCGTATTCAAAGGTCAAACCGTGTCCGACTACTGGTGGTCTCGACGCACGATTTTCCTGACACGGGCATAATAACGTGCCGGGTTATGAAAGCGGTGATGCGCGGATTGGTGTGTGGAGGAGGAGAATAGAAAAAATAATGTTTGTGCTTTCCCCTCCCTTCCATTGTATTCCACTCTACCGTAAAAAATGATGTGCGAGCTTTCCCCTCCCTTCTATTGTATTCCACTCTTTGGTTGGGCTTATCAAGCGATACATCGGCAGACAACTTTCCCCTCTTCTTTCGAGATGATTTGCGCAGTATGAACATAAAACGCGGGGGGGTTCGAACCAGCAATCAATTCAATCTATCTCTCTGTGTCTACGGAGTTTAACGGTGTGCCGCTACGTACGCTGTTGTAGTATGTTGAAGCATATCACGTCTTGATCGCAAATTCCATGAATCTATATAGTGATGGGCGCGGGAACAATTGTGGCAACACCACCCACCACGCGGCCGATAACAGCACACTTACTCTGCCGCCCCCCCACGCAAAAAGCAGAAACTCCGAGTAATGTGCCTTCCGTTACCAATCGTTCAATGGCAAGTTTTTTGGCCAACTAAGTTTTTATGTTCCACAGCAGCACAGCAACAACCCATATATAAAACGAAGTATAGAATCATTCAATGCTGAGCGCCCAATTCTTTTCAGTAGAGATTTTTCATGTAATAAAATGTGTCTCGACAGACAGACGTACGTACGTACGTACGTGCTACGTAGTACTACGTGTTATCGTATTGATTTTTTCACGAGAGAGGCAGCGTTGTTGTTGTTCTTGTTTCTCACATTAGCTCTAAAAAAGAAAAAAGATCGGGAGCCCGTGGTCTCAAAACCCGGCATACACGACCCCACGAAGAAACAGAAAAAAATAGGGTACAAAAACCACTCGGAAGAGAAACAAAATGATAGAAAGAAAGACCAGCTACCGCACCAAACGAGAAAGAGCGTCGAGGAGACCGATCAAAATAAAATAAAAGGAGAACGGGGAACGCTTCCCACACCCGCCTACAACGCCGGAGGGTTCCGTGCCGGGTTCCCGCCGACCAGGCATCCCCCGCCCTGCACCACACCCCAGGGGGTGCAGCAAGACGGGGGGCGAAAAACAAACACATAGTCTATATATTCCCACAAAAAAAAATATAAAATCGAAGGACAACGTACACCAGTACCAGGTACTACAGCAGTGCAGTATGCACCAGCGCATTAGTGTAGGGTAGGCACCGCACCAAAGAGGCAGCAGAGAGAGGTGGCAGGCAGCCAGCAAAGGAAAAAACAAAAATAACAAGGAGCTCGACGTATCGTCCAAGATCATCGTAGAGAGGGCATGGAGAACAAGAAAGAAAGAAGAAAAGCACAAAGAGAGGCCGGAGGCAATACTAAGAGCATACAGCTTACGGCAGGGAAAGGGAACACAGGTTGCGACAACATCATCAGTTAGTTGGGTACGTCGTTCGCGGCAAGCGCGGCCTTGGCCGCCCTACTCGCTTCTACAGCAGTTAGCGTATGTATGTATGTATACAGTATATCATCGCCTACTCTCTCGCTGTTTCTCAGCCATTGCTTTGCCCCCCGATCGATCGTTGCCGTGCGTGTTTCTACGCAACAATATGTATGTTGTCTTCACATTAAACCGTATGTCAGTTAGTTGCTAAATAAATGCCAAAATCTAGCAAAGACTCTCAGCCCGTGGTCATGAAAGTGCTAGAGCCATCTGAGGATCTAAAGGACATGCACACATATGTATGTGTATATCAAATAGAGTAGGCCCATCCATGTCTATGTTGCTTCCGGCACTACATCGTGATTTGAAGATAAAGATGGCGCTCGCACTTAATTAAGAACTTGGCAGTTAATTAAGAAATAAATGCGGCCTCGAAAAAAATTAAAATAAAAATAATTGACCGAATAATAATAATAATGATAATAATAACACGTGCGTGCGTGCTCAGGCCCGACGTGGTGTTAAGAACAAGAACGACCCCGCCTTTCTTCTTTGTGGTGTAAGAACAGAGGCCCCAAAACGCGACAGCTGCGAGATAATAAGCAGCACTCGCGAAGGGGTGAGGGGCTACTCGCGGGGTGACCGGTGGGCAGTTATGCAGATCATCAGCGGCGAGGAAGGAGGAGGAGGAGGTTCCTTTGAAAATAGTACTGGTGGTGCCGAGATAGGGTGTATGTATGTACTGCTGTTTTTACTTTTTTTGCGCGTCCAACGGTTGTTGTTGTTGTTGTCTTCACATTAAAAACCATCCCGGTCTCTCTATCCAGTACCTCCTTCTGTCTCAATCTCTCCGTACTAATCCATCACTTGACTCGGCCAATTTCCGTGGTCACAGGCTAACGTACCTAGAAAAGGTATACCAAAATAAAATGGACCCCAAGNTCTGTCTCAATCTGTACGTACTAATCCAGCACTTGACTCGGTCAATTTCCGTGGTCACAGGCTGACGTACCTAGAAAAGGTATCGGTAGTCAACTACAAAATCGGGCTTACAAATGCCGGCACTCTTGCTTTTTTTTTATTGCCGCGAATGTCGGATGAATCGGTGTGTCGAGTACTTTGTGGACACCGGCTGGTGGTACATACAGCAGCAGTAGTTAACACAGTTTTCGCGGCAAGGCGTGGACATTCTCGGGCTTGGACAACCTCGCCTGCAACTAAGCACACATAGATACAGATCAGATGTCCCTGAACTGGGTTTGGGCGGCTTTTCCGAACCCTGTCTGACCTTGGAGGTTGTCAACGGTGCGCCCGACCGGGTTACGCAGGTTGTACAACGCCTAGGGGTTACAGGTCACTTTAACCCCCCCGTAACCGTGCCCACTGCTGTAGTCTATGTAGATACCATGTCCGGATGACATCAGAACGCATACAACCTTTCAGTTGAATGGAATGACTCTCCACGCCACGCAAAACGTGCTTGCGGAGAGAGGTGCCTTCGCAACTGCATGTACAAGCTTTCTCCCTTACGTGAATCTATCTGATAATCTGTTGTGTGCATATATATCTCTGTGGATGCTGAGGATAGGCTCGCAGACTTCCTCTTTTTGCGAGTCAATGGGGTGCTCATGGCTTTTGGAGGCGGTCCTAGTATAGCCGCGTCTCGCCGCACGACGCGGCACACTTGCAACTTGCCCCTGACTGCAACCTGGCACATTGTCTCTCTCTCGGTACAGCGGCCACACAACATGCTACGCGCTCCCACGCCGCGGTCTCTCCGAGCGCTCCGCCATGCTTCGCCCAAGCCCGTGAGCTCGGACGTCGGAAGAGTGCTGCCTGTGTCGTCCTGGGCGGGAGGAGTAAGGCAGCAGCAGCAGCAGGGAGGACATTCTTCTCAGATCATCAGCGGCGGGAACAGCAGCAGCTCTTCGTTCCCCCTGGTTGCGGCAGCTGCTGCTGCTGCTGCCGCCGCCGCCGCCGCCGCTGCCGGTGTAGGTGAGTCATTTGTTTCCCGTGCCACTGCTGAGTGCGTCGTGTTTACTTCTAGGGGAGATGTCTTTCATATGCTCTCGTTCCTTGCTGAAAATAGCAGTCAACCAAGAACGTTCGCGAAAGATGCCGCCGTCGCTGGTTTTTTCCGAGCCAACCAGAGGCCAAAAGGCCGGCTTGTGATTTTGAACGTCCGGCCCTATTTTCATACCTCAAGAGTGACTTGTGCTGTATGCTAAGAAAGTTCGTCTGAGGCCCTTGCGAAAGGTTGCCAATTTCAAACAATATCCCATGTGGGTGCGGTCCAATCGGAGATTGTTAACTTCACCTGAACCATCGGCGCAATCTACGGGTTTTTCGCAGGCAGGGGGGTACATCAGTATCATTATAGGGCTACTGCAAGAGCAGTGGTGGGCCTGGTAGTATACTGTACGGCCCGCCTGCTCGTTCGGGTACAAGAGGAATTGGTGGTGGTCTTAGCCACGCCCCTCAGTTATGACGTGCGCGCGAGAGAAGCCGATTATCGTGTTGGGAACGGTTTGGTAGCTACCATTAACGTATGTAGCCACGAGGCACACCCCCACCTCTTGATCACGGTAGCAGTACAACGCAGAGCTAGCTTCGCCGGAGGGGTGACTGACGCCCCCCGCTCCTTCAGTTTCACACGCACCAGGGTAAAGCTTGGATCAAACGGAGGCAAAATAATTAACAATGCATACATTACCGCATTTTTTTTCATGTAATTGCGTCATGCAGTCGACCCCGCTTTAAGGACGCTCGTGTTATGGAAACTCCCCGCTTGAAGGAAACTTATTGTGCTGAGCACCAGGGGGCCCGACAGAATATATGATAACGGGGTTAACCCATTTTCATGCCGCGTAACCCCCTTTTTGTGTCCTACGGGCCTGCGGGCCGCTCTTTGCACGAACTACGCACTACTGTGAGTGCAGAAGTAGCGACGCACAGACACCAGAAGTAGCGAGCAGTCTGCTGCTGCAGCTGCAACTGGGTGTTGGTATGGATAGATTCCTCCCATCTACCGGCGGTCCATCTGATGCCGCCAAAAAAAAGTCGTGCATAACCTCGTCCCTCACCGAGGGCGAAGTTGTCTCGTGCTTGTAGGACGTTCGATCCTACAGTCAAGAAACGTCAAAATCGGTTCGAGCCTCAATCCCTTCTTTTGGGTCGAAGTACCGGCCCAAGTCGTCCATTTTCGTAAAAGGCATTTCTTCTTCCTTTGGACTGTCGCATCCTCCTGATTCTCTCGGCTTCATGGTAGGTAATGGAGAGTGCCATCGAAGCCGTACAACAGCGGAGCGGACATGTTTGTGTGGCAGTACTACAGTACAGCACTCAAAGTGAACAGCAGGGGCGCGGGGGGCGGGGGCGGGGGACTTTGCCCCCTACAAAAAAGATGCACTTCTGTTCAGCTTGGGAGGGGGGTGGGAGCACCGCAGATTTCTGATGTCATGGGGGTATCGCACCATCATGTTCTTATTGGGGGTGTTCTTACGTTGTGGCCGAGATTGAGCTACGTTTCTTAAGCCCTTTTTTCTTATTTTTCGTACAAACTGGAGCCTTTTTTCTAAACAGAATTTTTCTTGACTGCGGGCGCTATCTGTGTTTGTACGCGAAGGGAAAGGGTGGCGAGTACCGTGAGACGCAGTACCTTCTTCGAAGACCGTTCATTCGTTTACTCATGAAGCTCACCAGAGCCGTAGAGCCAAGCCGCGGGGGGATGTTCAGGGAACTCTTCGCGATATGTGGAAGGAAAAGCCGTCAGGATAGCTTTTGGTCTCCGCCGGGACAGTGATATATACTGGTGTTCCTCGGTGCGACGCTGAAATACGCTCGTTTTTGTTTGTTTCACAAGAATGAGATATAAATATGTCTACTTGGACTTTCCTTCTTCTACCACTGCCGGCTATGCAGTACATTAGTTGGCTAAGTACAAACTGGTGTACTGTACCGGTAGTTGTGTTCAACACGTCCCCGACTGCTGTACATCTCATTTTAAGTTTTGTAAATATGTTCGACGTCAACAAACGGTTGCCAGTCGTCTCGGCGATGCTGCCTCTTCGTACTACCCCCTTCCTTAGCAAAAGACGCGTAGTTTGAGGTATAGCATGCCTCCATTGGCCCCGGGGATGGTGAGCTATCGTCCCCTGAGTTTTAAGGACCGCTTTAAGGACGCTTTTTTTCGGGAAAAACCATGTGCGTCCTTAAAGCGGGGTCGACTGTACCCCATACTGCGGCTCCGTGAACACTCTCGTATTGAAATCAATTACCTCGCACTTGTAAAATACATCTGGATGGGTATGTAGGCAAGCACCACTTGCCTTTTCAAGGACGATCAAACCGACTCAAGACTGCATCCTGCTTCCGTCGGCTTGAGTGGATCTTACCGAGAACTTGCCAGCAGGCAGTCGCTCCCAGGCAATCTCCCCCGAAGCTGACGATTTTCCTATGGAGGGGGCACTAAAAACGGCAGTAGTCCACCCGATAGATAACCGACAGTCAGTACAACAGCAAAGCATCACCGACAACAATACCCACCCTCCTCTGTCGCGTCGGCAGCAGCCGCAAGCACAGGGTCTCCAGCGCACGCGGAAGGAGGCGTCATTCCTTCGGCGACTTCGGTCACGCCGGCCCCCGCGGGAGTCCCAACCTTCCGGGGCGACGCCACGCCGTCGCCTCCCGGCGATGACATGGACCACAACAGCGTTGTTGTCGGCGACTCATTCTTGGCGGGAGGGGGTGGGGACGGAGCAGGGGCGGGTTCTGGCGCTAACAGCCCGCCGGGGCCGGGGGCGGGTGGTGGGGGTGTGGGTGGGGGCGCCGAGGGAGAGGGGGATGGGGACTGGGGGAGCAAGATGGGGTTGCAGCTGTCGGCACTGTTCGTTCAGAGGGCGCTCATGGCGTTCCGACGGGAAAGGGCTGCCATGGTGAGACCAAGATGAGCTGTGTCTTCCGACTCTAGCGACCCTAGCTCCAAAACCCATCCCAAACTTGACTTTGAAGCTTAGGGCGAATATGTGGTGGCACGAAAATGGTGTCGTCTGACTCTGACCGTAACTCTCTAGCGTCCTATCTGTAATCATAATTCTCACTCGAAGCAACTGCTGTGAACCTAGGGCGACTCATGGTGAGACGATGGCGTGTATGGTTTCATTGACTCTCTTCGGGTGATTTATTTCTCGTAGATATCGTAGATGGTGGAGATTCAGGTTGCGGTTCGCGCAGTCGTTTTGGGTTTAAACCGAAAGTCGAGATCTGATCTGATTTTGACTAGAGAACGAACGGGATCATGAGACATGCACCGCGGATGGGAATCAGAGGGGGGGGGCGAGGCAGCGAGAAAGGAGTAGACTTGACTTTTTTCCGATTTTTGGAAAGTGCGGATGGCATCAGGTAACAGATGCCTCAACCTTTCGTGCGACAGCAGCTGTGGCTACATGCTAGAGTATATGAAGGAGAGACATTAGACCGACGAAGATATTTGATGGAGATGAATCAAAACAAAGCGAGAAGAATGGGCGTGCGTTGACTTTTGTGCAGCAGTACAGTACATGCCAAGAGCGATCATCCCCTCCCACCTTTGAGAGGGACCTGTATGCCCGCAGTTTTGTTCGCCCCGTCTTTCCTTCATAAAAAAATATTCGGTGTCTAAGATTGATGCAGTCAACATTCCTACGTGTGTTGTTTGTTTTCAGCATCGACCAATGAGAAGACGCCAGTCTCAGTGCTTCTAAAAACGAAAAAACGCTTCTAGCGGTCATGATTTGGGGGCCCGTTAGGGGCGGTCACGGAGGAGTATTTGTGTGTGTGTGCGTGTGTGTGTGTTTTTTGTTGGCATCGAGCCGCGCTTATCGGCTGACCAATGAAACGGCGTCAGTCTCGGTGCGGTGGAAAACGTAAGATGCTTTTGTAGGCCACGATCTGGGACCCTGTGACCGAGTGTCATGGGGGAGTCAACGCTACTCTCCGGGTAAAGAGAGATACTTACGGAGCAACACAGAAGAAGTGTGCGTCTGTGTTGTTTTGGCATCGACCGCGCCAACTGGATGACCATTGAAAATGATAATAGTTCAATCTTTTAGCGGAAAAAACGCGAACACGCTCTATGTTTATCCAAGGGTTCTACCCAGAGGGAGGGCGCAGGAGATGGACGACAGCAGTGTCTTGCTTCTGATGTGCAAGAGAAGACTGACGTATGAACGCGACAACGTCTGTGTTTACGGGCCCCCTTCCTGGCCCACATGTTGGTGGTGTACACTAGACACTCCTTTTTTTTTTCAGAATGCACGGGTCGGGTCAAACCCTACGAGTGGAGTATCGAATCGCACCTATATCGCACGCGAAGGTTAAGGTTTGACTGTCTTCAAAACGTGTGTTGTACTTTCGGCCCGTTCCAGCTGGTATGATAAGTCATGATTATGATTCTGACGCTATGAAGGTTGTTGGTTGGAGCCTGTTCGGAGCGATAACACTCACAGTTTAGCACCAGTGGCAGAAAGCGCATAGTCGCGAGCCAATGCACACAAGGAGGAAGGATGGAACAGGTGAACCCTTGCCCGTATCGCGTCATGACAAGCGCCCCTAGAGGAAGAAGGGTGGAATTGCAGCAATTTTCTGTGTTGTTGCTTCCCTCCAGTGTGACCCTGGCTGGTGCGACACCGCAAGATGCATGCAGAAAGGCGCCTCGGAATAGATGGGGATGGGAGGAAAACATACCTGGCGTATGCATTGTTACAACAGGATTGTGCGGATTGCGTGCGTGTTCTTTGTACGGACACGTTCACATACCTGTTGTGGGCTCGTTCGTCTTGCTTCATCTCTGTAAGCAATCGATTTGTTTGCGGCTGAGGAGAAGGGCAAAGATTGTTGACGGTCTATTCGTTTGTTTGCATGTATGCATTTACCACGCGTTCATTCACACGTTTTGATTATCGCGCGCACTATATTGTGCAGAGAGTGGTGACCCCCCCAATCGAGTTCCGGGAGGAGCACCTGGGAGGGGGTCCTACGCTGAGCGCTAGCTTCCACCTTCCTCGCTCGGCTAACATCCTGCGGGTGATCAGTGCCATGGTGTCCGAAGACCAGGTTTGTACCGTGGTGTTGGTATTGGTGTTGTCATCGTGTTTTTGTTGTTGTTGTTGGTGGTGGTGGTGGTGTCGTGGTCCTTGTGTTATATTCCCCGCATAGGAAAACTAGCGCGCTTGTAAATAGGCAGAAAACTGGCCCTGAGGCTTTTCTGTGTTGACCGACGAGTTGCTGGATTGCGCGGAACGTCGTGAAGCCGGCCTTTTTCTATTTTCGACCCATATGTTGCGCTTTGTTCGTTGTCTCTGCACTCCATTCGTCCCCCAACGCTATTTTGCACGCGTGTGCCATGTAAGTTCTTCGGTTGTGGGTGTGGCTTCTCAACGTCAAGTATGTCATACCTTGGGTCATTTTTTTTCTGTGTTTCGAACCCGTCGCTACGATACGCTCCACGATAGTGCCTGAGTGATTGCTATTTGTAGTTTTTAGTTGGTATCCACCCCGATATCCGATTGACCAATGAGAGACCGCCGCATGTGTCTGTGTTTGTACCCCTCAGGTTATGGAGGTGAAGCAGCCGGTCATCGACAAGGCTGGGGCTTCGATTTCTTTCTGCGAAAAGGTGATGTTTTGTTCTTGTGTTTTTTTTTCCCGCCCCCTTGTTTCGAGTCCACTCATGAGCAGGATAAGGTGAGTCCCCTTCTCTCTAAAGAAAATGTGTGTGTTTTGTTTGAGTTGTGTTGTATTTTACCCTGTGTTGGGGGAATATATATCAACCAACACTTGGATCAAGAACCAAAGACGCGAAAACTACCACTACTCTCTTCTGGTGTGAAAATCAACGTAAACCCAGCAATACTGAAGAATTAATTAGTAACAACCCGAGCTGCAGCGTTGTATCGGTACTAAAATAGCTGTGCTTTGTGTGTCAACACGCGCGTGTACGTGAAGTAGCCGATATAGACCACGTGCGACAGGAGTAATCCCCCGCCCTAAAAATGGTGCTCTCGGTGGAGGGTACGGTGGAGGGTACTTCTTTAAACGCGACTCTCGAACAATCACAATTTTGTGTCCCTTGCTCAGATTTTCAAGACTAAAACAAGTTCCGGGTAGCTGACGAGCTGAAGATAAATTTGCAATTTTTTCTAATACAGTTTTTGAGAGGAGCTCAAAGTCGTGGTACTTCGTCCCCGTTTTACGAAAACAGGCAACACGAATGAACCAATATGGTGCCCATTTCTAAGAAAAAAAATTAAATCAACGAATTTTTTCAGCTCATCAGCTACCCGGGACTTTTTAGTTTTTGAAAATCCGAGCAAGGGGCACAACGTTGTGATTTTTCAAGAGTCACTGAAAAAGAACCTCCCTCCGCCCAGATCCATGTTTCTAGTGCAGACAAGTCCTGTTGCACCTTGGTCGGTAACACAAACTGCTGTAACAACATATAAACTCGACATGCACTTTTATTTCAAGAAAAAGAAAGTACTTGCACATGCATGGGAAGTGAGATGCCTGGTGTAGTTTTTTACAAAACACAGAACGAATCACCTTTCTGTCGCATGCACTTGTAGGCTTTGGTATACTGCTGTAAGATAAGGAGAAAATACAATACCGAAACAGAGTGAAATGGAAATTGGAAAAAAAAGAATATATTTGGTGAGTATCGAACTTGTGATCTGCATGCTCGTATGTGTCAGCTGCGCATCTAGCTTGTGCCTCGCTATTCACATTCCCACCATCCAACCTCACTATTTAACGATGATTGGTGGGCGTGCGGGAGTACAAAGCATCTTGGATGTTTAAGTGGCAGTCCAACCACATATGCTTGAGCAGTGCCGTCCCAAGAATCACCCGCCCTGAATCTCGCCTCACACCTCGAACACTTGTTTTTTTTGTTCATGTTTTTGGTAAATGTAGCATTTTTACACGATTGGCGCAGCACAAAATACCCCCCTTTAGGCAGCAAGACTATATAAGCGTCTGTTGGACCCCTAAAGTTATCCATGACTGTACTCGAAAGAATCATTTCTACAGGTCAGTCTCCGCTTTGTTTATTCAAAACAAGGCAAACCCACCGATTCCGATGAGGACGTGAAAGTTGGCAGAGCAGTGATGGTTTTGCAGCGACTTCGAGCCTATTTTTGGTCCATGTCCTGTTTTCGATGACCTGCGGTCTTTTTCTCGAACGAGACCGACTCTGCTGACGATCCTGAGGAACGGTGCAAGAAACAAACACACAACACACAAAACAAGCCACGATCCGACCACACACAAAAAGCTCACGGCCATACATATTACGCATACCCTGCTGTGCAGAGGATACATGTACGTGACATACTGAGAAGGCGCAACGATTACGAAATATATCCATCATCATGGTATGTATGTATACACATACATGCGTACGGTAATTACGCTGTAAGAGGTAGATTTTTTTCTTTTCTTGTGCACGACCCAAGTAATACATTGCCATTGTTTTCGGAAGGTAAGTATCCGGGACAACTTAGCAGTAGACCACTGCAACAGGACCCCCCGCACTCGAAATTTGCTCTGGGCGGAGGGGGGGGGGGGGGNCACCGATGGCCAATCGTTCCTTTCTGGGCGGAGGGGGGATTATTTTTCAAGTACCTGTGAAGAATGACAACTTTGTGATCGGTGTTTTGTTTTTGCGAAATATTGGGGAAACGGGGGAGATGTACCATAACCTTCGTGTCCCTGTCTTCATGATTTTTTTAGCAGTCCCTAAGGCGGTTTCTACAACGTTCGGAAATGCAGTGAAAGTGCATTTCCAAATTCGGACCGAAAACTGTTGCTTGTAAGATCAGAAATGGCACTTTTCCGCCTGAACATTTTCGATTTCACGTTTCCAACCGGTCATGCGTTCGGAAATGATGACAATTTTCGATCGGATGGCGCGTTTGATTTTTGCGTTTGGAAATGCACACCACACGGACACAACCGTCGATTGCGCAGGACGTACTGGTCGTGGTGAGCTCATCAGGGCTCCGAGCAACCCGTGGAGCACTGTGCTGCCATCCCCGCCGTTTATACGTGGTTGCCGTGTGACCAGTCAAAGTAAAATGTTGGCCAGCTGACACACACACCGCTTGCCAAGACCCTCAAGAGACGCGGCATCATCCCAACACAAACCGATAGACGATATGTTCATTTCTCACTGGCTAGATTAGATCACCCCTGCTGCTGAAACTTGAGAGGATGTGAGCTCCATCAACTGCTCTCTGTCGGAGGGGCTGTGTCATTGCTGTTGGTTCGGTTAATGTAGAGGGATAGCTACAGCACCACGGTGACACGGCGAGAAACCTGGACAGCAGTGCGCGGCATGATGATGATGATGTCATTTTCCGAACAACACAGCAGTCAGTCGATCCTCGCCAACTTCGTTGCTCAGCCTCCCAGCGCGTCATGGCCTCTGAAAAACCGCATCACAAGAAGCACCATACACACAGCTACGGGCGGATGGTCTTGTGGTATCTGCTAGTTCGGTTAGTGAAGAGGGGTCGCCACGAGACCAAAGCTGGAGCAAAAATCAGTCGAAAGCTGTTAGTTCGAGCGTGGGGTCTCCTTCGGAACAGCAGTTGCCCCCCTCGCCAACTTCGATTCTCAACCCCCCCACATGAGGCGCCATACGCACAGCTACAATGGGATTGCTACACTTTTGCTGTTGTGTCGCTCAGTGCACACAAATCCCCGAAAAACCAATCGGACCGGATGATGAGGTGGTACGGGGGTAGCAAATGGAAAAACAAACGGCCGCATTCCTAACCAGCAGTGCAAAGAAAAACGACTGCACAACAATAACAAGCGTCATGACCGACACCTTGTTTTTTTTTCCGAATGGGAAAGTACACATTTTTGAACAGGATTTCCGAACATTATTAGAAACCGCCTAAAAAAGAACTCCCTCTGCACAGAATTTTTTTTTTGCGCGGAGGGTCCTGTTGCAAGCGATGATTTTACATTTTAGTTCTCTCGCTTGTGGAAAGAGGGAATCGTCCTCGACAGACGTTGGAAGACTGTAGCTTCTTGAAGGTGATCTCTGCATTACCCCTCCCCCTTTTTTAGTCTTCTTGGCTACTACTTCTATCTATCAGGCAAGGCTTAATTTTGCTTTGCAAATATGCGGTGGAAAACGGTCAATTCTCGTGGTGAGAATACGAGCTTCGATTTCACGGTCGACGAGGGAAAAAGGGACGGCTAACCCCCCTCGCCACAACAAAATAGTATAAAAAATAGAAACATGTACAAATGGTTACTCCCGTGTGACCCCGGCTGATACGTAAAAAAACATGAACTTTCGTGTATGCACCGAGAGGTCAGGTGTGTAGACTGGAGCCAGAATAGATAGCAAGAACACATACATACACGAACATGATAAACGCGCTGTCCCAAGGAAAGTTTTTTATTACTTGAAGTTCTTTGGCGCTTCGCGCCACCGCCGATAATGAGCAATTTCAAGGCCAAGGACGACCTCTCCTCATTGAAGGCCTACATTTCTTTGCTTTTTCCATGCTTCGATATTTAGGAGGCAATAGTCTATAATGATTTTTGTCAGGCAACTATAATAGCGTCTAATGCTGCAGTCTCCTTTGTGAAGAGTTTGAACTTTTTTATGACATAAACTAATTAGTCCTTAAACCGAAGTATAAATCTGCCTTCATTGCCCATAAATTATGAATATCGTGGTCTGACCCGAATAATCTCCCCCCAACCATCGATTTATTTCTTTTTTTTCACCTGTGCTTCGTAATGTAACACCTGCCATGAAACGTTGTATTGTATGTACGATATCCACAGGATCGCACCGGGAGCCTGTTGATCCGGCAGGACCCTTCCACGGGACCCCGCGGGGGCAAGGACAGCATCCACCTCTACCGTGACGGTGGCTTCACAAAGCAAGACCTGGCGGCACTCGTTCAGGGCTACCAGGAGGCGTGGTCCGGCCTCAACGGCAGAGATGTGTCCTACAGGTGAGAAAAATGAGAGGTTTCGGTGTGTGTGTGTGTTTTTATCATTAGCATCGACCGCGTGTGTAAACGAATGTCATAAATCACAGGGCGAGCGAAAAAATTGACAGAGACAGACGGAGACAGAGTCAGCACAGAGAAGCGGGCATGCATGCGGGTGGGCAGAGAGGTCTGCGGTGACAACGTCATGTTGTTGGAGACAGCAGTGGCGGCGGATTTGTTGAAAAATATGACACCTGCTGTCTTTCTGGCACATCAATGTCGCGGAGAAAGAACATCACGTGTGAGAATTTTCAGCCAAAAGACGCTATGTGGGGGAAACTACTCCCACCACACGACTGATATTTGCGAATGTTTGTTGTGTAAGTAAAGTCAGCCTTGACGCGATGTGTGTCTGTTGCGATGATGCCATTCAGAGCAAGTCTGGAGTTGGTGGGACATCCAGCAGTGGTCCAGCTCCCGTACAGTAGTTTCTATATCGGCACACAAGAATTGTTTTTCTGATTTGGATGGCGCCGTTACTACTGTAATAGTCGGAAATCATGCCTCTTTCTTGTGGATGTCGTAGCCGAGCAGTAATTCGGTGAGGGTTACGGCAGCACTTCAGACATTTACGAATACGATGTTCCGTCGGCGCATGCAGCCTGCTTTTGCGTGAATTGTAGTTGTCATATGCCACCGTGGGAAGATTCAATGGGAACATTCCGTTTTCCAATGGTTGGACCCATACCGAAGGAGTTGGCTGTGGGTAGAGAGGTCATGCCGATTTTCTTTCTCTGTTGTTCAAGAAAGCCATGTAGCAGCTGAACGAACCATGGAAGGATATTATCGCGAAGGAACGCATGCGAGCTCGTACTTGTGAGCTGTAGCTGTTTAACATACTTAACCTTGTGTTAATTCCGTTTGTTTGGAAGAGTTGGGAAGTGGGCTTACAAAAAATAGGCATACGGTGCGGTGACGAAACAAAGCTTACTGAATATTGGTACAACATTGATTAGGGCGGGCGTTTTGTTGCGAAGGACACGATCGACAACCAGGAAGATGTTAACAGAGACAAGGGGGGTACTCTTATGTTTTGCATGCCTTAGCGGTTAGACCATTGACCGCGCGTCCTCGAGAGGACCGAGCATCGTTCCCACAAGACCGATCACCGATGGCCAATCGTTCCAGAGACAGCGAGAGGAGAAGCTCGAAATACTGATGTACAAAAGGACAAATTATGACACTCTTGTTCGTTCGATGCACTGCTGTGTCGCCCTGGAAGACTAGACTTTATTTGTCCGTCACCCGGGGATATTACATGCAAATATGGTAATTCTCAAGGAGTGTGCTCTGATCAGACCGAGCAATAATGCCTTGGGCGGAGGGGGTTTCTTCAGGGACACTCGATGTATGCATATGCATTGCATGCATATGTGTGTTCAAAAGTCCTCGAGGACGAACCCCTGTGCCCACAACAACAGCACTATAATAGTGCAATTTTTTCAGAGCGGTGGGTCTTGCTGCAAGCTTCTCCCAAAACATCAACCTTTGGTGCTGGTGGGGTCGAACGTTGGTGTACTTGCTACTGATGAGGTGTGCGTGGTTTGCGGTGTCTTTCCGGTGGAGTGGTCGTTTGTGTGTGTTGGTGTGGTTTGGTTTGTGTAATTCGTTACCCCACAAGTGGGGTCAAAAATCAGTGAAACTCCTTCAGGATCCTCTCCGCACGGTTCATCCTAGTAAAAGGCGAGGGTGAAGTTCGTGATGCGAGAGGATCGGAGATGGTACATGAGGCCTTCCTTCCAAGCGCTTATATATGGTGCGGCCTCATCAGGGGTTTTTTGGTCTGCGCCAAATGACCCTTTTGCACGGTTTCTGTCTTTGCTCATCAAGAACTCAACAACATAAAACCAGCTACACATGGTGATGTGATCCCGGGCATCCTCTCGTACGTGAGGCTTGCGCGTGAAGCTTCTACGTAAGGTGTAGACTAATCCCCAGCCACGTCTGTGGCACCCACGTACAGGCAGAGAGGACCGTTTTCAGCATCCCGGCACTACCCACCAACGACTGCTGCTGTGCGGGCTCTACTGCTGTAGAGTGTACGTCCTTGCTTTTTCGGTGCACAGCAGCAGAGCCGGACAGGTGCCAGCAGCAGCACCGCCGTATGCTCCCCGAACGCTGCCGCAACTCCACGGCCGCCCTCCACCCGGTCATCCCGGACCAAACTGTGAAGAAATCGACTATCTTCTGTGCACATAGCAGATGCAGATGTTTATGCGTTGTTCTTTCTCACACTCTTTCAGCACGGCGTACACACCATCGGCTACACTGCCTCCCCGTATCAGATGCTACCTTACCTGCAACACTGCTGTACAGCCATCGTGCGAACAGCAGTCGAAGTACAGCAGTACCACCAGACATCATGCATCAATGGCCCTTGCCGCCCGCCCCACCACGGGATGAAGACATCGAGACACTCTGCACTGCGTTCCACAATGACAGCAACATCACATCAGCTCTCTTTACTGCTGTACCGCTCTACTACCCTGACTGTACAGCAGTATACATAGCAAGTTCCACATCAACAAACCGCTACAGCAGTTATACACGCGATGGCCTATCAAGAGCTCTACAGCAGATTGCTGATGTTACGAAACTCTCTCTCTATCGTTCCCACTCTAAAAGATAAGAATGGCTCTGTTTCACAGCTGGGTTTTGTTTGTTTTGTTTTTCTCCCATCATTGGACTCTGTCGTCTGCCCCTCTGGCCCCTTTCCTCCACTTTTACCAGCTAGACGACCCAACCGGGGTCACATAGGAGGGGGGGCTGGACCCCCTCCTGCGGTTGCTGGGTGTTCAAGCTTGGGGTGTTGCCAAATCAAAAGCAGTTGACATGTCTGCTGGAATCGACGAAAGGACTCTTGTTTTTTTTTTTAGTGCACATAATGATGTGTTGGCGCAGACCAAAGTAGTGAGTTTAGGTTTCGGTGACGGGTCAGGGCTATATAAAGTCGGTCGCGACTTGACTGTCGAGTATACCTTCTCGGCCTTTTGGCTAAGATCATGTGTAGTATCTGTTCTAATCAGTGTGAAAACTGATTGACACTCATGGAGTGTCATTTTCACACCTGTTTTTGAAATCGCCGGGTTCGCGCTGCTTGCAGTGTTCCGGCAGGATTTCCTCGGCATTCCACTACCGCCTTGTGAGGTCCGTCCCTTCGGGGACACAAACGAACAACCCCACCAAAACAACAACCGCACCCACCCGACACCCCACGGAAACGAACCAAAAGCCACACACACTTGCTTGATGATGCCTGTTCGAATGCTGATGCGAAAGGTAGTTCAGAGATAGATCCACTCACTCACACGTTAGGGTTAGGTTAGGGTTATTTACGATAGACCTTTACTCTGCAATCGATTCTTTGTCAAAACTAGTACTCCGATGTATCATCACGAGCCTACAGGGCAGGAGACGGACGAGACGGCGAGGGAAGAAAGTAAACGAGAAGTGACGGACCGAGTGGCGCGATACGTGTCGGATTGAATTTCTTTTAGCCACTTCCCCCCCCC